AGGCTATAATATTGCATCCATATGTGTACATGTTCTATCTCATCACCTGAAGGTTGAGAGAAGATAGTTAGGAGTCCTGAGATATTCTGAAGAAGTCATGAAAACCATGTTACAATATATCCCATTAATATGTTATACTGTAATATCTAGAGGTTTACCCAGTCCTCTTGTGAGTAGACAGAGATCTAGACTGGTGGAAAATGAATGGTGTCCTGGATTTTCTCCAGGCAGCATTCTCAAAGGTGCAGAGTATAAATGCATTACAATATGGGCCATGGCATTCAACTCTCTTCTGTGGACAAGATGCCCTTTCCTCATGTCTGTTTGTTAAAGATATATATGTATTTACAGAATTTGTAAATGGCTATTTAAAAATTTCCATCATGAAACCTGAAATGGGGACTTAACTATACTTATGGAGAAGATTGTTCCAAACATCCTTACACTGTTGAAAGGGGGCTTTTGTGGCTGTAACTTGGCTATAATTTGGGCACTGTATGTTTGAGCTGGGAGTTTAGCATGTGTTCTGCAGTATATAAGAGTCACAAGTCTAAGATTGTTGCTTGGAGGAACCCTTCATTAATTTCTAAAACCAGCTTTCTATGGGTCTTTCCAGCCTCCCAAGCCCTCTCACTATCAGGATAAATATGATGTGGATTATTCATCTTTTTCTTGGCAAGTTGATGTTCCAAGGCAGTTCAAGACCGACAAATGTGCAGATGCAACATTTGGCAGATGAAGCTTTTGTGTCACATGTGCTCCCACCTGGAGATAGTACTATTTCACAGACTGAACGATAAATAAATAAGAATGCCTTCTGGAAATCCTGCGCAAAAATGAAATTCTTGCCTTTCCAGGATTCTCAGAAGGCATTATGCCCATTTTTCCCCCAGTCCAGGTGCTCATTAGTGGAGGGGAAAGAATTTTATTCTCACAAATTTTTGGGTCTTGTTCTATGATCTATATGACACAAATGGCAAACTTTTCAGGGTAAAATTGTGTGAGGACTCAAATATACTCTCCCTACCCCCAATTTAAAAAATTGCTCCAAATCATGAGAGATAATTCTCTCTCTATAAAATGCTGGAATCAGTTTAAGTCTTGTGAGATTTTAGGATTTTCACAAGAAATCTCATTCAGGATATTGAAATCTTTGGAGCCACTTTTTAAATTAAAAACTATTTTATTTGGAAAGTTCATGGATGCCCTCCTAACATCTGATCTGTACTGTTTTCCATGTGTATTTTTGGCATGAATCTATAGTTCAAATATGAATGTTTCCTCTACATTCAGGAAACAGAGGCTCCATTTCTTTTCAACCTATCTAGAGGATATGTCTTCCCACAGAGAAAATCCAACAGATGTTTGGCCTTGCTGGCTGAGTCAATGAGGGGACACTACCCAAAGCATAAGAGTTCAGAATGCTCTTGGCAAGTCCTGGAAAATAAACATTTACAATTAGGAGCTTCTTTCCTAGCACTGGAAGATCATGCCCATTTTGGATTTTTAATAACTCTTGTTAAACATGTTGGTTTTTTAATTATTTGGAATGCAAGGACTAAACAAACAAAAACACACTACAGTACCTTGTATTAAAATGCATGCATCTCTTTTTAAAAGAAAAATGCCTATGGGACAATCACAATTACTTTTGCTAGAAAGCTTGCACATTTTGAAGATGGAAGAAAAAAAGACCACTGCCACCTTATGCCTCTGAGCTCAGTTTTTTTTCCCCCATCAACAACAGCATTTAAAGCAAAGCAATCCGTATATATGCATATAGTCATTCATCACATGGTCATTAACGAAAATGTTTGGGGAGAAATGTGTACCATACGAATTAATACCGTATGTCAGAAAAAGTGATCCAGCAATCTTCCAGATGCTGCTGTTCTGCAAAGTCTAGCAGCTTCAAAGAGCATTGCCAGTGGTGAAAGATTCTGGGAACCCTAGTTAGCAACAGATGGAGGGCACATTTTCCCATCTGTGTCCTATGTCTTGCTCTTAAACATGTTGTTTTGGGTGGCACTGATCCTGTAGAAAGTTGACTGACAGCCTAGAATGAACTGAATGGCACTGTTTGAGAAGGGAGAAAACTCCTGTTCTTCTGCTCTGAACTGTTTGACTTGTCTATATGGTGATGGCCAGGAACCCAAAGCAGATGCATTATATTACATTTAAGATATTTTGAAATATTGATAGCATACTGTAGTGCAAATATGTATGTGTAATGTAGAGTGTGACAATGTAGCATGCAAGAAGAGGAATTACTTGGGAGTGGAAGCAAAATGGCAAACAATGAGGGACTATGTCTAAACTATATAATACTGTTTTAACTTACAACATATTCTGCAGTCTGCGGGAAAAATCTGATAAGAAAGAATACAACATACTGTATATAATGGGCTTGTTAACTTCTGGTTCAAGGTTATGTATGTGACAGTGCAAACTATATATACACACAGAGAGATATACAAATAATATATACCACATGCATCACATATATAACATGCTGTACCCCCTCCACACTGGAAAACTGCATTCCTCACACATTACTTTCCCCATATGCATTTATGTACATGAACTACCTATAATGTGGGTATGCATGCCATTCATACCTTTCATACAGCCATGTACAAATGTGCTTCATGTGTATTCCTCTGGGTGACAGACCAACTCATGCCTAAGTGTAGGAAGGCAATGAATTGATTTGTGGAACACAGCTAAACCACTCGGATTTAAACTTAGCAAATAACCAAGCAATGTGACATTATTACTTGTGCCTCTATTCCTTTTTTTCTTTTAACATAAATATTTATATGGGCTGTATTCACAAAACACACTGGAGCAGCTGAATTAGACCCAGCAGCTACCATAGCACTCTAAGTTTGGTTTGTATTAACCTTGCTTATTTTTTATTCTTGGGCATGTTGTGCAAACTCAGCTCATTTGGTTCTTGATCATATTATGCAAGCAACAAGGTTGAGCGTGTTGCATTAATGAATCCACTGTGTTTTGTTTCTCCAGCTTATCCAACCAGTGTACAGGAAGAGCTCCCTTGGCTTTTCATTTTTTGATTCCATAAGTCAGAGGCCAAAAGAACCATGGCCTGTGATACGGAAGCAGATCTTAAGAACTTAAGAACAGCTGAGGGCCAGGGTGGTGGTGGTGGAGCCTGAAGTTAGCTGCATGGGGGAAGGGAGACATCAATCCCTTTCTTGTTTCTACAATTAAAATAATTTCTTTGAAGATGCCATTAAATACTGTATTGTTAAACCGACTTAATAAAAATACACATGCCTTCCCTCTTCCAGAGGGACCAACAGTAATTTTGTAGACAAAGAGATCTTTGTTGTTGGCTCTTGGTCATTTCATTCATTCCCTCCTCCCTAGATCCCACCAGAACTTCATTTTTTTAAAAAAGGAAGTGCGTTCATAGGTTTTGAGTACCATGTATGTTTGGAGAGGCTGCCTATTTGAAGAACTGTTAAGCTTGTCATGAGCAGGATAGAACCCTCAGTTTTTATCTTTGCATTCACAACCGTGTTTATTCACACATATATTTTGAGAGTCCCAGACTGAGTTCTAGTGAAGAATGCAGTGCATGACAGATTTATCACTGCTAATCCAGACATGCATTAAAAGTTTAATTAATCTAGGAAAATGCACTAGAAGACACAGACTGGGTTCCCATAAAATGCTAGGCCGCAGTTTGCTTAATCACTGGTTGCAGAATAAATCCAACTGACTGAATAAAAGAAATACACTAAGCTATAAACCTTGAACCTTAGTGGTTGAGTCCATACAACACAAACGAGCAAACCACTTTTAGCTGTGTGTTGTGTGAACTTAGCCATAGAAACATGGCAATTTAAGAATCAGTTCACAAAGTCATACTGTTACTCTGCTGGACTATTTCTATTATATCGTATGATATTTGTGGTGGAAAATGCCATGGTGACCATTTCTTCTCAAAAAAAGTTGTATAAACTGACTATCAGAGTATTTCAGATGTAATCCTGGAATTTTTTATTTGGATTTCCTGACAACAAAACAGGCAGCAGGAGGCTAGAAACCGGGAGACTGTGATTTCTAGTCCCACCTTAGGCTCAAAGCCATCTGAGTGACTTTGGGCCAGTCTCTCTCTCCCAGCCATAAGAAGGAGGCAAGGGAAAGCCACCCCAGTGGTTTGTAACTCTCTTTGCTGTGTGATCGCATCAGGTCAAGGAAGTACTGTCTGCTCAGACCAGATCAGTTAAACTGTGTGAGGCTTTTCTTTGCTTCCTCAAGAGAACCTGAAAAAATCAGGAAACTTTCTAGAAGACTTAATTAGATGTTATTTCCCAGCTATGTAGTTTGTTCATTAAATGACAGCTCTAGTTCCTGGCCTCCAGATGATAGGACACATGAAATTGAGCTCTTTTGCATAAAATTGCCATATCTAAGAATGATAAGCACAGGGAAGACTGAACGTCTCCTAAAACATTTGCAGCTGTCTAGCAGGGCCAGAACCAGTTAGTGGAATCTCAGGGGTATAGGTTGGTGTGGCAGGTGCTGAATTTTCATCCAGTATATCATGCGTTACGGTACAATCTGTAGTAGCCTTGTTTTCCTATTTCCCCAGTTCTTTGGAGTTAAGAAGTGAAGGAGAACACTCAAAAGGGCATCTTTGCAATAGGGACCCCCAGTTAAGGGGCAGATCAATTCATAGATAAAAGCTTCAAAATGAATGTCTACTTCCTAAGGAATGCCAGCATTACAGCTATAGAGATTTGTCTTCTCTTTATCTACAATCTAAATTGGCTTTTTTATGGAGTCAGCATTATTTAAGTAGTTTGAGTGGACAACTGTGGTTTCATTACAAGTAACTTTTTCTCTAACAAACCTTCTCTAACAAAGTGTTACCTTTGTTGTAGATATTACCAAATTAATGGATTGCTTTTTTTAAATTACAGGGATGTTCTGGCTGTGGAAAATGTGACTGCAGTGGAATAAAGGGGCAAAAAGTAAGTATCCTGTATTTATAGTATTTTACCCTCCTAGTGTTTTTGCCAATTTTGTGTAAATCAGGATCAATGAATTTTAATATTACCAGGGTACTTTGGGGGGACAATATTCAGTTATGTGGGAGTAACCAGAAAAACTGTACATGGCCAAATTGGAAAACACATGGCAGCAGAGAGAGAGAGAGAGAGAAAAAAAAATAAAAGCCATGATAAATGAACATTTAATAAATTAAATGCATTAATAAAGAAAATAAATATTCTACCCTCAGCAGCAGCATCAGTATGCTTCTAAGAGATCCAGGTTATCATAAAAGCTTTAACAGACAGGATTGTACACTCTCATATATACTTTTGCTACTATTACCCAATATTTTCTTAAAATTTAAGATAAACTGATTGATAAAGAGTATGTGCACACACGATATTTAGTCCTGCCTTGTTTGGAAAGGTGAAAATATGTAATTTAAATGTGTCCATTCTAAAACATTTGCAATATATAATTTTGTATGGAATTCATCTTCATGAAGTCTTAAACATGCACTATATTCTTCATTTGTCAGCTTATTTTTTTCTAATCTACACCATTTCAAATACTTATCCTTCAGCATTACATATAGTCCATATTTCCAGGCAACCTTCCACCGAAATTCTGCATGATTTGTTTCTGAAATTCAATGGAAAAAATATTGTAGCTGTTTTTACGTGGCTGCTAATTAGCAAAACAAAGCCTTTATTCTCCTGGGAAAGCAGTTTTAGGAAACCTCATACTTCCTTATGGACTTATTACTGAAAAACCTTGCCCATTTACAGAAATGCAGAAAACAAAAATGATTATTGACATTTAAACCTTTTATTAATAAAATTAAGCAAGTCTGGTTGACTGTATTATAGCAGGTTGACTGTATTATAGCATTAGTTCTGTTAATTTAAATACAATAAATTAACTGCTAAGTTCTTTGAATTCTTTAAAAGTAGCAACTATTATATGAGTAACATATATATCTGTATTGTTTAATAAACATTGCCTATAGAACATATATTTTAAATTTTAGAGTATATTTTATGTTCATTCCTGTGAACAAATAATTCAAATCTTTGAATGTATGGAGGGATGGGGGAAAGGAGAGTTTTGTTATTTTTAATGCTGGAGGTATAGAGATTATAAACTTGAAATCTGAACTTCTTTAACCCTGGGCAAAAAAGAGAGAAGGAATGGAGTCCACAGATTCCACTCACTGACTTCCTTAATTTTAATCATGTCCCACCCTATATGTGGTAGCTAAAGAGACAGTCCCAAAAGCAAGGTGTATAAAGATAAGGTGCAGCTGGGTCACCTAGTCATGACAGATGGCCTCAGCAAAGTTTGGCAAAGCCACAAGTTAAGCTAGGCCCATCTCATAGATTTCTAGCCTAGAATCTCACGGAAAGTGGCAGATGTTGTGATAGAATTCTGCTCTATCCCCATAAAGGTAATAGGTAAATGTGCAGATTCACATTTCTGAAAAGAAATTTAGGTTGTGGGTGGCTGAAATGGAATGGAGATTGTATCATTTGGCCTTGATCTAGCTATGGAGCCGTTAAGAAACTGCCTTATGCTGAATCAGAGTATCAATACTTCTGGTTCAAGTTTGTACTACCTAGCCATAGCTTTCAGAGAGAAATTGTTCCTGATTCTACCTGAAGAATTCTAGGGAACAACTGCATGCAAAACATGTTCTCTGCCATGCAGTTCTCCATATATATTCCTCTTTACAGGATTGGGGTCCACTTCAGATTGTTGTTGTTGTTTTAATTAGAGGATATTTGATATCAATTGGTATCATGATAAAAACAATCAATGGGGGAAGATAAAAGCACCCATTTCCATTTCCCTTCTCCTAGTTTCTTAGCTGCTAGTGTTCAGGTCAATTGTGCTTCAACAGGCATGATCTCTGCTGAGAAGCCCTAGACATATTAATTTTAACATGTAAAATTAATCTTCAAGATTCAGAGTGAATAATGTTTATGAGTTTACAAACAGTAAGTCAGCAGGTATTTTTTGATAGCTATTTTAAACATCTGGCCATAAGACAAATATTTATCAGTAGATATAATCCTAAAATTCCTTAATATACATGCATACACAGAGGCATATATAATATCTGCTGATATTTTGTTACAACCCAAGAATTGTTTTCATTTATAAAGAAATAACCATCTACAGTATTTAATACACAGAATAATTGCTCTTTCAATATTTGCCATAAGTAGATAGCTGAAGTTAGTAGAATCCTGACATGAAATACTAAAAAATACTTTGTGATGCTGAAGTATTATAAAGGAAGTTTGTTTTTAGCATATTTCAATTAA